GAAAATTGGATTGAGTATCGAAAATTAGGAGATTAGAATGAGTATCGGAAATTAGAATGAGTATCGGAAATTAGAATGAGTATCGAAAATTAGAATGAGTAGAATGAGTATCGGAGATTAGGAGATTAGAATGAGTATCGAAAATTAGGAGATTAGAATGAGTTTCGGAGAGTAGAATGAGTTTCAGAGTTTCCAAGAGTAAAACGAGCGTCGAGAGTAGAGTGACTAGTGAATTGAAAATAAAATGCAAATCGCAGAGCCTAAGCTGGTATCTGAAAGGATACCTTAAATAGGAGAAACTTACTCGTTCATATTGCTTAATTACTGATACGTATCAGCAGTAGATATGTCTTGCTTGTTCACGCACATTGTCGTAACTCGCACGGAGCTCTGAAACTTTATACTGTTCAGTTTTCTTTACTTAATTTTCTTTTGCATATTAAAACAAATCAAATTCATTCTCTTCAAAAATTGATCTTTATACTCTCTGCAGCGGATTAGCGGGTAAACAGCTGTCGCCGAATCATCCATGTGCCGGTTCGTATGAAAGTGGTGGTGTTGGTGTAGGTGGGGGTGCTGCTATGGGTGCGCATAGTTCTTCATCTCCCATACCTATGGGGGGTGGTAATTCGCCTTATAACGGCAGCAGCGGAGGTTTATCGCCGAATTCAAGCGCTGGCATTTCACCTAATAAATATCGACGCAGTATACCCTTTCCAGTTAAGGGCGCAACATCGCCCATACCCGGTTATACGTTAGATATAAATGCTGCAAAAGCAGCCGGTGTGCCCACGTTATCTATAGGTAATGGTGGTAACAGTGCTGGAGCTGCTGGGGGGCGGTGATGCGCCGTATTTGGGGGCCGGTAGTTATGTGGGTAATGGATTGGATATGCGTCCCTTAGATCATTGTTTGAACGATATAATGCGTAATATGGGTGCTGTTGGTCCGGGTGGCGACAATAATGTTACCGCCGCCGCTATGATAGCAGAGCGTATGCGCAATCAAAAACTGAGCGAACATCATCTAAGTGAAGTGGATGCAGTTGCTATAGCGGCAGGAGGTAATGGTGCTTATTTAGATCCCCATATTAAATTAAATTCGCCCTCTCGTTCATCACCCCATTCCCAAGGAGCTGAGCATACGGCCCGCTATTCGCGTAAAGTATTCGTCGGAGGATTACCACCAGATATTGATGAAGATGAGATAACCAGTTCTTTTAGGCGTTTCGGACCTTTAGTGGTAGACTGGCCACATAAGGCCGAATCAAAATCGTACTTCCCTCCCAAAGGTTATGCTTTTTTGCTCTTCCAAGATGAGAATAGTGTACAAAAATTAATTGACTCGTGCATAACGGATGAAGACAAATTATATTTGTGTGTCTCGTCGCCGACCATTAAAGATAAACCCGTACAGATACGTCCGTGGCGTTTGGCAGATGCGGATTACGTTTTGGATGCCACTATGTCATTAGATCCAAGAAAAACTGTTTTTGTCGGAGGTGTGCCACGTCCCCTTAAAGCTTTTGAATTGGCAATGATAATGGATCGTTTATATGGCGGTGTGTGCTATGCCGGGATTGACACCGATCCAGAGCTTAAATATCCGAAAGGGGCTGGACGTGTGGCTTTCTCCAGTCAGCAAAGTTATATAGCAGCCATATCTGCGCGTTTTGTGCAGCTGCAACACGGCGACATTGACAAACGTGTAGAGGTAAAACCCTACGTATTGGACGATCAAATGTGTGATGAATGTGAAGGTCAAAGGTGCGGTGGGAAGTTTGCACCATTCTTCTGCGCCAATGTTACTTGCTTACAATATTATTGTGAGCACTGTTGGACTGTAATACATTCACGTCCCGGACGTGAGTATCATAAACCACTAGTCAAGGAAGGCGCCGACCGTCCTCGGGCCGTGCCGTTTCGTTGGTGTTAACGGCGGCGTTGGTAGGTTGTTAAGACCGCGTAGAGATCGTAACATACAACAGCAACAGAAACAACAACAGCAACAACAGCAACAACAGCAACAACAGCAACAACAACAACAACAACAACTGTCACCATAACACTTAAAAATCTACGATTTGCTATTAACGCGCCTTTTCGTTCATTTTACTCTTCTTACTTACAATGAAATTAATATATTTTTTTTTTAATCCCACAACAAACAGCAAAATTTAATAATTAGTCAAAATATAGGCTTAGTGATTGAACCGGAAAAAACCCCCTTTAGAAAATATTCAAATATCTTAACAACACAAAGGAAAAAAGAAAAACATACAAATTCACTTTCCACAAATTCTTCATTCAATACTTGCTTGAATTCAATTTTGAAAAATTGCTTCGATAAGCAATATATTTTCGTTTTTTGTATTTTTTATTTCTATTAATTTTTATAGCAGCCCGGCCGCGGTTTTTTTCTTTGTAATTCTTTATTTAAGGTTTGTTATTAACTATAATCAGTCGATCTTTTTCTACTCAATTCTTAACATTTCCGCGATTTCAATTTTTCTAATAACATTCGACGAGGACAGACAGACTCTGTGCAGGTCTTTAATAATTTTTTTATAATATTTTTTTTTTTTTTTTTTTAACAAATGATGCTTTCTCTTAAGGCAACAACAACTTGGCTTTAGCTTTAAAACGTATAATACCAAACTTACTTCTAAGGCATCGCTTAGTCGACGAAAATATCCTCGCATGCATATACATACGATAGTCAAAGATTTTGTTTTAAAAACAGCAATTTTACCAAAAATAGTAAAATGAATTTTTTACATCTGCTATTTTGCTTGTAATTAGTTTTAAGCATTTTTCCTTTCTTAACAAAATACCACCTAATAAGAATTTTCATTTTAATTTTTAATATTTTTTTTTTTTTTTGTTTTTACAAAAAATATATATAAATATATGCACATGATCAGTTTTTTTTTAATTGGGTTATGTAAATCAAATTTTTTTTCTTCAATATTGAAAGCTTTTTTTTTTTTGTTTTTTTTTTTTAAATTTCTATGAAATCGTCAAAAAAAAAAACAATTTTTATTGTTAAATATATTGCGTTACGGCTGAAAGGGAAAAAAAATATGTATGGATTGGCCTGCTTGACACACTACGTAATCACACCACCTATCAAATAAACCCCTTGAGTCCTTAATTCTTTTTTCTTCTGAATATTTCATGCGTTAATCATTAATCTATAAAACTAATAATTGAATAATAAATAAATGCATCTCATCCATATCAGAACTAACAACAACAATAACAACATAACATCATCAACAATGAAAAAAGCAATTGTAGTTATCCTTCCATCAACTGTTGTGTCATCCTAAACACCAAAAAGGAAAAAAAAAACAAACAAACACAAACACAAACACAAACAACAAAACATAAACACATCTTGCTTCACATATAACATGCTCTTTGAGTTCTTTTCTTTTTTTTTTTTTTTTTTTTTTGTTTTTTTGTTTTTTTTTTGATAGCGTTTCTAGTTTTCTATCTATATATGTAATCGACGCAATTTAATCAAGCTACTTATATCAAAAAAAAAAAAAAAAATAGAGAGAGAGAGAGGGGGAATGGGTTGACTTTTATTATTCTACAATACCTTTTACGTTAGTCCTAGAATGTTTGGGTTCGAAATGTGCTCGCAAAAATTTCCATAGTAACTGACAGAGAGAGTATACCCGACTTCAGGATGATATATCGTTTAGTTTTTTTGTTATTTTATTTGTAATACACAATAGAATTAATATTTTTTACTTCAAAGAGTTCTTAAAAATGGTTACGGCGGCTTCGTTAATTACATGTACACAAATACATGTATATGTTATTGGAAATGCAGATATGTCGCGATATATGAACTAATCACGACGAAACTAATTAGATAATATTGTTAATATTCAACATAATCTTGTAATAAAATAAAATCTTTCTCTATTAAGCGGCTTTTTAACAAAAAAATTTCGTCTCCATTAGCTAACAACTAATTATTACCTATCCGTGTTCCTTTTCCTTTTGTTGAACTCGAGTAACCGTTAGGAATATTTATCTTCACGACGGTTAGTTACCATTCATCGAATACATCTATCAGTCAAGATTGCGTTAGAAAGAATATCTTGGTGATATTTTCCTCTTCTATACTAATTGTCTTGTCTTTAAAGAATCTCGTATTTTTTTCTTTTCCGTCTTTCTTTGCCCAGAGAATTAATTGCATGAAACATTCTAAGAAATGTTTTCAATTTTTCATCATTAGAATAATTTTCATTCATATAGTTTGCACGCGTTTCATTCACGCCCCTTTGTTTCACTCAGGTTATCTCATTATAATTTAGTCAGGTTATCACTTACATTATCCATTACCTTTATTATTATTATTAAACAAATAATTAAACAAACAATATAAACACAATTAAAAGAAAAAAAAAAAAATTTTTTTTTTTTTTTTAATATTAATCGCTAAATTTTATTAGACTGTACTTTGTTTGTTTTAATTGATAAATAAAAAAAAAAAAGAGTTGTTTTTATAACGTTTCTCTTAACAATATCGCTTTTTTTCATCATCACATCCATTAAACTTCATTCAGGTGTTATATCGATAGATCAAACTTTTTTTTTCATTATGAAAAAAAAATAAAAATCTGCTTTCAAAATATGCGTCGCGTCGCGTCGCGTCGCTTCGTCCTGTAAATGCCGTCATAATGAATTGAAGAGAAATTTGATTTTCACTGAAGCAAAAGTTTGGGAACGCGTCAGCCTCTCACAAATCAAGTCGCTTTGTGTACACACATGAATCATTAATAAAATATAACTTGCGATACAAAAATGTTTCCTATTATTAATAAATTTTTTTTAAAAATAATTTTATTACAAATTTTTAATGATTTTTAAAATTTTATAGATTACAAATTTTATTTAGTTTTTAATAATTTGTTTTTTTTTTATGGTCTTGTTATTTTTTATATATTGTTTTATAATATTGTTGTAACGTATATATATATATATATATATACAATACATATTTAGTTTTAAATTTTCGTTTTATTTTTTCCTGGCGGCCGAGTATTTCATATATAATTAAATTATTTTTACAAATTATACAAAAAAAAAAAAAAAAAAATACAATAAAAAATAAAACTCTGCTTGTGTTCAGTATTAGCTTCTTTTTTGTTTTAACCATAAATACCTTTTCAAAATCACTTAAATATTAAATTATATTTAAATTTTATTGTACAACTACTACTACCTTAGCTAAAAACAACCTTTGTAATTATTATTAATTAATAAATTTGTTATTAGTTAAAAACAACAAAATCCTAACTGTTTTTTATATAAATTTTGTAAACATTTTTTTAAATACCAATAAAGCAAAAAAAAAAAAACAAATCTCTTAAA